AAGACATCTATTAACTCATGTGTAGAGTATTATTCCCCAAGATATGTTCTTGCAAATGTATACAAACTTTAGCTATAGTTGTCACTTGCTGAGCGTAGCTCATTCCCGAGTTTTGGGAAATTTTTCAGGAGAACCTACGCTTAGGTGATGGCCGAACACCCGAGGTTTACCTACAGTCGACGCGCAACGGGTGGCAGGTTTTTACTGTTGTTTTTAGTTATCATTTTTGGGTGGTTTTATCATGAATGAATAGTTTAAGTGTATACCACCTTGTACATGAACTTCTTTTGTGATGATTTTAAATGTTATATATGTTGGAAAAAGGTTTAGAGGCGCTTTTATTATTCTTGAATATATTTAGAATTACATGGAACTGATGATGAGTACTTAAATTACATGTCCGATCTCGTTCCCGCCTCGTATCTACGAGCTAACCGGGCCGGGTCGTGACAGCTTTCAAGTATAAAAAATTTAATTTTTAAACTAGAAAGCTGTTTAAAAAGTAATAAAAAAATCATCCCAAACGAAGCCTAAATATATCTGGTATCTAAAACCACCATGGTTATCTTTGCATACAATGCGCTCAAGCTATTGGCTACACGTAATTTACATACTTATATAATATTTCCATGTCTTGTATTACGTGTCTAACTCATCAACTTGACTATCTGTCGGCAGCTCGAACTGCTAGCCTGGTGATTAGAATTTTCAGTGTATTAGCTAAGTATTCTTACATTGTTGTCTGTAACAGGCTGCTTTTAGAGCAAAAGCCATGGAATGGCATCCAGATCAGAATCAAGAGAATAAAGGTAAAATGCTCCTTTCCTGCCCTCTTTCTGAGCTTTTGTTTTCTTTCATTCTTTGAATGTCTTGTAGTATCGGGAGTCTCAGAAGTTTTGATGAGAGAATGCTCTCTTTTTCAGAGGCTGCTGAAGAAAAATTTAAAGAAGTCCTCAAGTCTTATGAAGCAATAAAATCAGAAAGAATGAATGAAAAGTATTGAACCCAATCCTCAAATTTGAAAAGTGGAAAATAGAAAACATTTTTTTTTCTTGGCATGTTTATACGTAAAATTAAGGTCAAGAAGTCCTGTTGGATGTATTCGTTGACGAGAGTTAAGCTTGATAGGAATTTCTTCAAATGCAATTAGTTTTTCTTGTCTTAACCAACGTGATTGTACGAGTAATTTAACTGTAATTCAAATCAACTGATAATAGAAAAGAGTTATATGATTGATTATTATTTGTTTCTCTCTTGAAGCCCGTTGTTGTATATATGTTGCCCAAACTTCAAATAGCCTCCAGTTTGTTGAAGGCTTTCAAAAGCTCCTTCATCAGGGCTTTTCTGTGCATTAAAAGGGAAAAAAAAGGAAATAAGTAGAATATGATGAAAACATTCACAATTTTTTTTAATATTTTTTCATAAATTTTGTTTCGTCTCTCTTCTCTTATTACTCATGAGTTTTGCCTCATGAATGACCTCTACTTAACATATTCACTGAAGGCAGAGGATGATTCATGTCAAAATTTTCTTTTCCTCTGTAGTTAGATTATTCATTCACATTGTAGAAAATCTGTTATATATATTTTTAGGGGTAATCTCCTCGCTTGAATTCTATTGCCCGGAAGAACACAAGGTCAAATTTTACAGTGTAATGTTCAATGATTTGCTGAAGTCTGTCCTCATTGTTTTGAGTTCTATTACTGTTTGGTAGAAGTAATTACAGTTTGATTCTTGATACTATCACTTGGATCTGGAATCATGATTTCAATAGTCATACCGGTGATTTGGAGATCTCTCGAAAAGTATTTAGTGCTCATTTTGGCCCACTCTATTATCTTTCTTTGGCTGAGTTGCATATACTTCCATGGTGCCCATTTTTTCAATTATGAAGCATGGCTAAGTGATCCTACTCAAATTGCACCCAGTGCCTAAATAGTAGGTCAAGAAATATTGAATGGCGATGTGGGCGGTGGGTTCCGAGGAGTACAAATAACCTTCGATTATTTTTTTAAATTTGATGAGCATCTGAAATCATTAGTGAATTATAACTATATTGTATCGCATTGGTGCATTGATCTTTGCATCATTAATATTTTTTGCTGGTTGATTTCATTGACACAATTCCTTGCATTTTAAACACAACTATATAATGAGTTTTTCTTATTGTTATTATGGCACATAAATGTGTTTGCATTCACTTCTATTGATTCCTACTTCTCTACTGTAGCAGGCATTACTCTACTGACAGTAATGTTAATCCTGCTTGATATAATGGTCTGTCATGCTCTCATCACAATATCGTTTTTAAAAAATATTTGACCGACTAAAATAATTGTTGCTAAGCCGAAAAACACCTATTATCTTCGTCGCAATGTATTTTCATATAAGGATTTCTTCATCAAACATTAGCTTTTCTTTATTTGGGATAGATTTTTTATTGGTTTGATTTTCAAATTTTAACTATAGTTTTTATTTAATCATTATTTTTTTACTTTTTTTTTTTTATACAAATAGAGAATAAGGCTATGTTTGGGATATTTTTAGACTTTTTTTTTTATTTTAAAGAAATTTTTATACTAAAAAAAAGTTTTACAAAACAGTAAAAAAATTGTCTCAAACAAAATATAAGCCTATTCTTTTATCTAAATATTTGGTTGATGTCAAAATGTCAAATTTCTTTGAAGGAATAAAAGAAAATGAAGAATCCATGCAATCCTATAATATATTTTTGATGAGGGGGCTAAGAAGAGCAGTTTAATCTTTTACGAAAATTTTGCTGATTCTATGCTTTGAAAATGAATGTGTCCTCATGACCGGTGTAAGGATGCAGAGGAACATCCGGTTGTAGGTAAAATCCCGCCTATACCGAGGTGTACCGAGTTTTTCCAAAAAACTCGGTACACCTCGGTATAGGCGGGGTTTTGCCTGCAACTGGATGTTCCTCTGCATCCGGTCGGAGGACGTAATAATTGTTGTTGAAAATGAGGCTCTTTCTTTCTTAACTATTATATATGTTATATGTACAATTACATTTTATTTATAGTGTTTTACTGAACCAAAATTGTGCTGAAACTGTGGATGAATGCTGTGGCAATACAAAAGTGAAATTAAAATCAACTTGTGGATGTGTGCTAACTAATTTAGGTTTCGTTTGGGATGACTTTCTTACTATTTCATAAAACAGCTTTTTAGTAAAAAAAAAAAATCTTGAGAAAATAAGAGCAAACTTATGAGAATATATTCAATATATCCTAAACATGCATTTTTGAAGTTGAAAGGGGCTTAGTAAAAGGCTTGAGGGGCATTGTGACATGCAGTAATAATAATAGGACAAAATAGATGTTAATGATGGAAAAATGATATTGCATGCACTCTACAAATGTGAATGTTAGGCATTCATTGAGGAAGATCAACATATGGTAATGTATGTTTTAATTGATTAAAAAAAAGAGCTCAATTCACAGGAGTTGAGTGTTTGAGTTGGGATATTCTGCTTCTCTATCCATTTTATAGTTATAATCTAATACAATTTTAATGTGGCATGAGTTCGTATTTTGTACGAGTTGATTCGTAAGGATATATATATATACCAGCTGAAAAAATTATAAGGTGAATATTGATGTATGAGTCATGAGCAATCAATTTTGGCTATGATATGCATAGTGTGCCTCGTAACATGCTAGGGAGTGATCATATGCTAGATAGAGAGAATCAAATGATCTATTGCTTAGAGGTTTGCTATGATTTTCTTATGATGCTTTAGAGATTCTTCAAGGTACAATTGTTTCGCATACATGAAGTGGCAACATGGCATTTTGAATGGCTAGAGTAGTTGTCAAAGCAACAATGCATTTTGAATGGCTAGAGTAGTTATCAAAGGCTATTGTGATGTAAGATAAAAATGATCTTCTAGAATTTGATAAAGGACACAGGTAAATGGATTAAATATTATGGATAGCTTTGATAAGATTTGATCTTATCAATGGTTCCTAATAAATCGGGTTGGAATGAACCAAGTGATAAGATCATATTAACAACATATACAATCCAGAAGACATCATCCTATTTGACCACTAAGAAAATAGGATAGGTTGACACTCCATATGACTCTGGATTCATTTATAAATCAGTGTCGAACTGGGACTCTATTTCATTGTTTTAAAAAATTTGTAAATAGAAATTTTAAGAAAATTTTAAACACCTTTCATGTGCCTCTTTCCTTCTTACCCCTTTTTGAATGTTCTTATTCTTCCTTCATGAGTCCTAAGCAAATGGCTTTGATTGGGGACCTTGGTGATTTGAAGGCAATAATATAAGAGAAAAAGAGTTGGAGGCCTAAAGAGGAAGTGATTATATCAACGAAAGCGGATGCAATGACATTGATCTTTGTACATCTCTTATCATTTAAAATGATGTGGATGGAAGGGCTACTAGTGATGATTTTGAATCCTATGAGTAAGGATGCTCCTATACCTAAGATGACTACAAAATCCTCTAGGTCCTATAAGAAATAGTTGACTTATTGACTATCATCCTTAACCCATCTAAGTTTGTGCACTTTGGCATTGCTCAATTTATCACTGATATTGGTTAACAAAGATGTGATAGGAGAGTGTGAGAGTGAGAGATAGGAGGGCCGACCTTTGCAACAATAAGGAAAAAGTCTAGGCTCCTTGAAATGATAACTCTTGGAACCTAGAAAAGGAGTTGAATGGGGAAGTCACACATCCAAACCTAGAAGTAGTGGATAACTTCCTTCCGTGGAGCAAAGTAGCTCATAATGAAAGGGAGAGAAATCTTATAGGAAAATTAGAAGGTGGCTCCCAAGACCTAAAATTTTGTCATATTATGATGGACACATAACAGTTTGATATGTTATCATTTATTCACATCAATAGTTCCCTTAGAGATATAATTGGCATTTCGTGGTCATTTGGGCGGAAATATTGTAGGTAATTTTTACTTAGACCTATTGGCACTTATGTATGTGCTTCATTTCTCAATCATGAGTACTCCACACAAGCATTGATTGGATAGACCTTTCATTTCTCAGTCATGTGAATATATGTTTAAATTATTATAACACAATTTTAATATATTGGATTTAAAATATAGAGCTTGGAACATGCCATGTGAAATGTTGATTGTGTATAGAAGTAATTTGGAGATATTAGAAGATGCCATAGTCACTACTCACTAGATGTAAGGTATTTGGATCCAACAACTATGATCCTTTTGCATATTATCAATTTCATGCCAACTCCTTGTCCACAATTTGATTATGAATCAATGATGCTCATGATTTTGTGTAACCAACTAATTAAAACCCCATAATGTGGAATGATCTTTCTATCAAGGATTAATTGGGTAGGCCCTTTATTGCTCAATCATAAAGATATGATTTTATATAAATCATTTTGCAAGAATGTTACATATTTGGCATTTGTCTCATCTGATAAAAAATGATTCAAATAGAAGAAAATTCAATAAAAATAGGAAAACTCATAAAATTCTCTTTAGACAAAATTTCAAGCATCTTCAGAAAAAGCGATGCATGCTGCATTTTTTAGAAATAACAAACTAATAATAATAATAATAATAATAATAAATTAAAAATATAAATATTTTTAATATAATCTTTTGAATATTGATTGTTGATTTCAAATAATTTATGATTACTTTAAAACACAATAAATTCAAATCTTGCATTAGGTTTGCAATTTCTTAAATTTTTATTAAAATTAAATTCTATAATGATAATATTGTTTTTAATTTGAAAAAAAAAATAGAAAAAATTTTCATAATAATATATCAAATTTTGCAAAGTTGACATCATTGAGGTTTCATTTGTGATATCTTTTTACTACTTTTAAAAGCAACTTTTTAGTACAAAATTTTAGGTATGCCTTCAGACAGACTTTCTTAATGCTTGCTAAAATATTTTTCTAGTACAAAAAATTTCTATTCAAAATTTTTTTTTTTACTAAAAACTGTTTTAAAACCAGTAAAAAAACCGTCCCAAACGAAACCTTAATCAAAACAGTCAAAAAATAACGATGAAAAGCTGTCCCAAACAAAGCCTGAGTTATTTTTATTTGTGATTAATTTTATAACTTTAATCCATTTATATGCAATTTATTGAGTTAGAAGAATAAGAAATTATTAGATATAGAACGCATCTTGAAGCACCATACATATTAATACTCGTATAATCTATCAAATTGTAATACACAATTATATACCCATTTTTTATACTAAAACATGGTTTTAAAAAACGCTATCCCAAACATAATTGAACACGAAGAACTCGACTGCGAGGAATTCCTGATAATATCCTATATGCCATATTATATGACAATTAATAAAAAAATTTATTGAATTTTTTGTTTTACGATTACTGCTGTAGGATTCCAATTTCTTGCTCTTCTCTCTCTCAAATTGTGATCAGGTTACAGGCAAAAAGGAACATAGACCTCAATGCATGGCCCAAAAGTGAGGACTGAGCCTCTGAGAACACAAAAGGTCGTCTGCACACAGGCAGCAATGAAAACCACCATGGGAGACTTTACAGCATGGCAATTATCACTAGTAGAGTCCTTCAGATAATGGTAGCTTGACTTCTTCAAAGAAAAGGCATCCAATATATCATTGTTTTTCTGAATAATGCAAAAGCAAGCAGAGGTAACTCTTCCAAAATTTAAACAAAAACAATAAATTAAGGCTTCGTCAGCTTTTTAGTATAATTTTTGTACTAAAAAACTATTTTAAGAAGCATGAAAAAAATTGTCTCAAACGAAGCCTAAATAAATTATAGAATGAAAGCAAGGTAATCATGACTCATGATTTCATAGTACAATGATGTGCTCAACTCTATAAGCTACACATTGATCTCAGCAGAACTGATCTCTCAGTACAGCCAAATCCATGCACTGAAGTTGGTAAAATACAATATTAAAAGTTGTCTTGCAAAAGCTCACACAAACTACACCATAGAGATTATCTACCATCAAAAGCCAAAGACACAACCACCAGAAGTTCAGCAGAAAAAAAAAAGACAAATAATGTATAAATTCGCAACATAGATAAAAGAAAGCCAAAGAAACACTTCAGTCTATATTCTAATAAGATAATTTTAAAAAGTAGACATCGCTACCAGTTTTCAACCAAGATTGATTGTCTTCTCCTCCTTGCAGTTGTTGCCAATCTTCTTCTACTTCAAGCTTTTCAATTTTTCATCTCAGTCAAATGCTGACAAAAGGAGGCAAGTTCAAGGAATTTACATTGTTTGGGCCAAAAAGGCAGCTTAAGCCTTCATTGGCGTTCTTCTCAACCTTGACACCATTATCAGAGCCACTGGAAACCGAGCTGACTGTAGTAGACTGTATCACATTGTTGGTGGATGAAGCTAACTGAGGGTTCAGATCCCAACCATCATTAATAAGGCTAAGAAAGTTCTTCTTCCCATCTAACAGGGTGCTACTTGTGCTGGTCAAGGCCTCCCCTAGAGGTCCTCCCATGGAGGCTGTTGCCCTCCACTTCATTGCTGAGTTTTGTTCATTAGGAACACCTATAAGACCGAGGCCCATTCGAAGAGGTGAAAGTCTCTCTGGGGCAGGTGAAGAATTGGAAGATGAGAAATCTGATGAAGCAAGGGGGAATGGCATAGAGAGTTGGGTTTTCTCAGATTGTATTTCCTCTACACCAGGCCAAATGATATTAGAGCTTTCAGACCGGCTTGCCGGCCAGTCATCGATAAAATGTCCTAGAACCTGTGGTTGCTGGTTTTGCTGGTCATGGAGTTCTAGAGGTGTATCAAAGTTATTGTTAGCCAAAAATGAGCCACTGAGATGGCTCTTGAGAATATTACCAGCGTTAAGTCCTATGGAGGAAGTTTCACTAAGAGGGTTGTAATTTCTAGAGGTTGTAAACAATGAATCGCAAGGCTTAGTGGTTGAAGTTAGAATAGAATGATCTTGAGGACTTTCCTTACGGTTATTTGTAGCATTCGCGCTAGTTGGCATCCTGTAGAAAATGGAAAAAGATGAAGAAATTACAAAACTGAACATAGGTGATAGAGTAAATTCTTCTATCATACATCAATAAACTTGCATAGCAATGGATATAATAATCTAAATGGACTGATAACTACTTAATTATGTAACTTCTACAAACGTTCTGGGAAAAAAAATGTATCAGAATATTTAGATACAATTTGTGTCAGGATGGGAAGACAAAAAGCTAAAAGTTAAATATATGTGCTTAAGGCTTCATTTGGGACGGCTTTTTTCATGCTTCTTAAAGCGGCTTTTTAGTACAAAAATTAAATTTTTTTAACTAAAAAGCCGCTTTAAAAAACAGTAAGAAAGTCGTCCAAAACAAAGCCTAAATTTAAGAGACAGTTAAACAGAAACATAAAACAAGATTAGAGACCAATTTTTACTAAACAGAAAATAAAAATATCTAATAAATTTTAGCATTTGTAGTCTAAGTTTGTGTGGTTTGTCTTCTTAATCTAACTCAAATTTACAAATTCTTTTTCCATATTGCAGTAGTTAATTCCCATTGACATCCTTAAAATAAACATTTATACCTCAGACCAGACCCTGGAAGCAGCTCAGCAAGCAAGAGGCCTTGCAGAAATAAATAATACTGTTTTATCAATATCATTCATCAAAAACTTCAAAAGGAGGCTGGCTTTCCTGGTTTGGTCCATAAACAGTACCAAAAGGATAACCATTAAGCACCACAACCTACTTATCTAACATAAACAACAACATCAACAAGTCTTTATCCCACTATGTGGGGACTTATCTAGCATAAAAAGCCAAAACATTTAAGACCCAAAATCTCTGGTCTAGAATTAAAGATGAATCACCATAGAACTATAAATTATAAAAAGTGAACCAGAGCTCCCATTATTTACCAGAACTGAGATGAGGAGGCATTAACAGTAGCATGAGGGATTTGGATCTGATGTCTGGTAACTGAGAGGGAGTTCGATGATTGGCCGCCAGAGGGAACAGATGAAACTAAAGTTGGGTTGGTGACGCCGGGCATTGTTATCTTGGTATGCTCACCATGGCCTTCCACAGGCTTTCTTGAACGGTGGCGGCCACGATTTATGTGTCTCTCACAGTACTTCTGGTCAGGAACAGCATCTCTTGAGCAGCGCCATTTCTTGCCGTCGGTTCGGCGGCATCTACCAGGCTCTGGATCTGCATTCCCCACATAACCAGGATGGAAATATCCCCACCAGGCTGCAATAATCAAGGAGAAGATCTTATGAAGTAGCTACCTACCAAGCAAAGCACATGGGATGTCTGTAGATGAAATCATGGCTATAAATATGAAGCCAGATCTAACTTTAACAAGTTACTTTAACATATCATTTTTTACTTGAGTTATATATGTTGGGATGAATCAGTCACAAATACATAAAAACAATAAAAAAAATGTATGAAATAAAATAATGTACTAATTTTATGACAGAACATGCAAGAATCCAACCATAAGTATTGTTAAATGATATTAAGGAGGATGAATCAAAGAGAGGTTAAAGTAGGATTCGATAAAATAGTAGTCAAACTAATTTTCAACCTATAAGTTTAAGTGAGGATCAATCACTAGTATTTCTACACCAACACATTTTTCAACTATCCAATGCGGCAAACCCAAAGCTTCCATTTCTCAGTGAGAGAACCAACAATGGATGTACAAATATCTCAAAGATGAACAGACTAAAGATGCTAATATAGAAGAAAAAGTAGCAATCACAGTCAGAGAACTATATTGGGCCTGACCTGCGTTAGGTCTAACAGATCCAGTTGAGCATACAGAGAACCAAGCAGGACTAAGGCCTCTCATTAGTGAGCTAAGCAGATTTGTTGGAATGGGAACATTTGCCCAAATGTAGTTATATATCAGCATTTGTTGCTTCAGCTCCATTCGCTGGGAAAGAGTGAAGGCCCCGCTTGGCCCTCTTACAGCTCCCTGCATCTTCACATTGAGGTCTACAGAGTTCAAGCCTGCATGAGGAGAGGAAAAAAACCCAAAAAATACTCAAAAGAAAGCTCTAAGAATAGCCGTATCATATAAACCATCCTGTGGAAATGGAATCGCCAAAAAGCTGGAGATATTTCCATGGCATGCCTGGAACTTCAAATGCTTTCATCAGTAAAATAAGTTATAAATGGATTCCTTGTCCTTACAATAAACCTATAGTACCAAAATGTTATTTTTCTTTTAAAAGAACTGTGTTGTTCTCTCGTCTGCCTATTACTAATATCTTCTTTGTCATTTACTTATTCATAGGTTAGAAGAATGCTTCTACTTTTTAAGCTAGGACAAGAGAAACAGGGTAAAGAGGAAAGAAAAGGTACCAACTTTCTTCTTGACAAGACTAAAACTAAAGATGAATGGAATGCTATGAAATGACTTCTTCTAATCAATACTTGGAATCAAATGGTTCATCATCCAAAAAGGAGGAACCCCTTTCCCAAAACTTCATCTTGCGAATCCTACTGATCAAGCTTTTCCTTCAAAAACATGAAATGATATGAGTATGGCGAGTTTTACCTGCCCTCCGAACTAGAGAGGAAGGTGCTGAAGATGGTGGTAATGTAGCTAAAACTGATGTTTTGTCGCAGCTATAAACCAAAGAAGATGGCTTGGAAGAAGAAAAGCTAAGCATTTGCTCTCCATTTGAGGCAGAAGAGAGGGCCATGGATCTGGCAATCTTTGGGGATCTCTGCTCATCTTCGTCAGCTCTACAAGACCTCCCCTGCTTGAGAAAATGAGAGGTAAAGAGGCCCCTTTTCCTGATTGATTCGAGGTCCGAGGAGGCTAGAGGAGGGGATAAGCTACAAGGAGATGAGCCCACCAACACTTTCATGCCCAAAAAGCCATGAGAGTCCATCTATCTGTCCACCAAGTGCTAGAAGGAAGGAAAAAATGGGTAAGAAGTGTGTTCATCATGTGGGGAAGTCAACAATGGAGTACGAGAGCAGCGTGAGCATTTTGTGTTCTATTCCATGGAAGGAAGGGGATTATGGGGAGAGAGAGAGAGGAAGGCTTGAGGTTTTGGAATGGTTTTGTGCTTTGGAAGATGAGACCAAGCAAGTTTTCTCATTTGTGGGGTAGCAAGTAGTTTGAGGGAGAAATAATGGTAAACGAGGTGGGGGTGACGTGGGGGTCTTTGGGGGACAAATATTAGGTGAGCACAATTACTGAATTACATTTGTTTTATTTTATTTACTTAAATATTGTTATAATGTAAGTATGCATTTAAAATGTTATAAATTAAATCATAATTGCTCAATATAATACTCTAAACTTTAAATCATATTAATATAATACTTTTCAATAGATTTGATAATATATGAGTTGATTCCCTCTAAATTTTAACTTTTCATTATACAAAATAATTAAGTTTTATTTATTTATATATCGAATACATTAATATTTATTTTTGAAAAATCATATTAAATTTATGATTTTTATTTTTTAAAAATCATATGTTAGTACAAGTGGACTTTCTAGGACCATTATATGTCCATTTTACAAATTGATTCATCTGATTATTCTAGACATGCTTAACTAACTTTTGTAAATTTTTTCATAATTTTTGGATATATGAATTTAAAGATATAAAGGGGATTTGTATATCGTTGCATTTAAATGACATAATTACTATTTTGCCCTTAATATATTTTATATATTATTATATTATATAAATCTTAATATACTAAATGTCATTTCATTTCTCTCAATAGAGAAAAAAAATAAAATTAGAGAGCAGAGATGAGAGAGAAGAAGAAAAATTAGGGTTTGACATTGGTAGAGTCGTTTGTGTCTGTCCGCCAAATTAGAAAATTGTTCTTCTCGAAGTAGATTATATTTTGCTTATTTCAGTTTTCAGCAATTTAATTCTTTTGAGATTTTTTCGATCAAATTTGTACTTTTGTTACTTAAAAATGATTATAGTTTTATTTTGATAAAACTTTCACAGCGTAACTTTTTATATGTTATAGAGATTGTAATTATGAATATTTTTAGTATATTTTGAAAAAATTTTACCGAGTGATTTTTACTAATTCAAAATTTTATTTTAACATCTAAAAATACTGCTTTGATTCAATTAAAGTTTCAGAATTTTTTTATACACACGCTATAGTAATTTAATTATGTTTTGAAATAATGAATTTTTGCTCAATAATATTTATGTTCCCTGCTATTGAGATATTTTAATAATTTTTGAACTTAGTCTAATTATATTTAATTAATAAAATACATCAAAAAATATAAAAAAAATGATGTGATGTTATGTTGGTACCAGTGAGTTTCCGAGATGAGATTTTATTATGCCAGCACTAGTGGGCAACCGAGGTAGGATTCTATTATGTGGATGCTAGTGGGCGATTGAGGTAAGATTATGTGTGGCGCCGGTGGGCAACCGAGATGGGATTTTGTTATGTTGATACCAATGGGCGACTAAGGTGGGGTTTTGTTATGCCGGTGCCAATAGATGACCGAGGTGGGCGACTGATCTTGGCAACAGTTCATTGATTAATTAAATGCATTCACTATCAGCATATGTTTCAGTTTTAGCTTTTTGTGCAATACTTCAGTTTATCATTACAACACATTATTTTTAGTTCTTTTAGTTTCAGTTATTGATTTATGTTTTATGTTGTAATAGCCTAATATGCCGTGTAGTTCACTCTTACTTTTACTTTCATTTTCAGGCCAATGAAAGGGTAAAGAGCGAGCTGGGTAATTTTGAAAACAGGCCCTAATCTGTATCGTACGCATCCTTTTTATTACTTTTATTTTATAGGCTTGACTTTCATTTGATTATATTATCTATTGCCAAATACTATTATATATACCTCATATTTTATGTAAATTTTTGTATGATATTATAGAAAATTTATTTTAAGATTCAGTTGTCATCCGCTTTATATTGTATTCAGTAGTAATTCTATGTAATGTATACTTTAGAAGTTTTATTTCAGTACTTCTCCAATCGGATCTTGGAGCCAATCTTCTCACAATCAGATATGGTATTCATAAATCATGTACTTATAATCATAATTCAAAACTATTAAGCTCTTTTAAGAGATTAATCATCGTTTAACTTAAGCACGTAACTTAGATAATTCAATGGGGGAGATAATTCTTTAAAAGAGGGCACCAAGTAAGTGAGTCATCCTACATGCCAAAATTGTTGAAAATTTGGAGAAGCATTTATTGTTCTTAATAACTAACTTTCATGTATGCACTTGAGATTGATTAAAAAAAAACCTAGTGATTACATCTTCCTATTAAGAGAACAATCAAATTGATCGTCCTCCCTAATTGCTTAATATCTTCAATCATTAGAATAATCAAATCAATCACCCTCTATTCCATGATCCCGATACTCATTACCAACTTTAATCCAAAAATCATCATCACATGACAAATTTATCATCTTTAAACTCCTCTTACTATCATCATAAGTTATATTTTTAATAATTCATATCTATTATATTATATTAATATTTTTTTCCAATTATATAAAAAAATACATTTCTTATAGTTTTTTACTCACACTGTTGAAATCATTTTAATTAAGATTATATTTTCTCTTCCTTTGTAGACTTTCTATATATAAAAAAAACATCTTCTCAATAAATATAATAAAAATATAATATATCATAAAGTAACATATTCTATTATCGCTAAAATTTCAGATAAATTTAAAATAATTTTTATTTTTTTTTTGATATCTAATACGCAGCGAACATATGGGCTGTTTTGGAAGAATAAAAGCAGTTGGGAGAATAGGCTATTAGCTACATTTTCATTTAACGGTATAGCCAAAAGTAAACTCCTGTCACGAAGGCGTGCCCTTTCCTTTTATGCTCATGTAGACCACTACACTCTGCATATATACAAATATAACGGACACAGCAAGCATTAGGTTACGAACTAAGGGACATCAGATCAGTCTAACGCTTTTTTGGGACTTTTTTTACTGCTTTATGTTTTTAAATTCTAGCTGCAGGTTTTATTTGGTTATTAGTTTTTTATTATTTTTAATAAATTTGTATGCTAGTTAAATACTAAGTTAAGTGTTGCGGAGATGAGGATACTGATATGGATGAGTGATTTTACTCTTAGAGATATGAGCGCCAGTGAAAGATAAGATTAGAGAGAGTCGCCTTCATAGGCGGAACCACATGCAAGTCAGGGGCGCAATTGTCCCCCCTCCCCAAAAAAAAAAATTATAGGAGAGTAATTTTTTTTGCCCCTCCTAAAAAATCACTTTTGCCCCCCGTTAAAAAATTGTTTGTCTTAATTTGTCCAATATTCTTTCCAAACGCCTCCCCCTCCCCCCCTAAAAGTCTTTTTGTACTAATTGTAATGATGAGAAGTTTTAATCTACTGCTAATCATATATACATACCCTAAAATATCTATGTATTTCTTCACATTTATCTATAATATTTTCTTTCATACTTTTATGACAGATTATATATATATTTTATTGAATTTGCCCCCCCTCAAAATTGAAGCCGATTTCACCCCTGGCCGCCTTAGATGGTTTGGTCACATAAAACAACGGCCTTCTGATAACCCGGTTAAGAAAATAGAGGTATTAGATTTGACTTATGTAAGAAAGGAAGAGTTTGACCTATAAAGATTTGGTTATAAAATATTAGAAATAATATTTCTTTATTAGATTTAAATGAGAATTTGATTTTTATCATGACACAATGAAACAAAAAAAAGGATTCATGTAGCTGACCCCACATAGTGGGACAAATGCTTGATGTTGTTGAATAAATTTGCGTGCTAGAAAAGTGATTTTTTCATCAGTTAAAAAAAAATTATTTATCCATAGCAGATTCATAATTATTTTTATGAATAGATACGGTTGTTTCAAATTGACTCTACATGTACAAGAAGTCTTAGATTTTATTTGGGACGACTTTCTTACTACTTTGTAAAAATGTTGTAGAGAAATTAATTTTTTAAAGTTGTTGAAGAAAATAATTTCTTTATACAAAAGTTTTTGAAAGCAATGAAAAAATAATGACCAAATAAAAATTATGATTGAGATCTAAAATCAAAGCATTAAAAAGGCTGTCTCAAACATAGCTTAAGGTTACTATAGCTTAATTCAACAACTCTCTGTCAATAAGTGGTTAATTAATTTAGTATTAGTAATAAGTAATCTAGCTGAAACGATCAATTTAGTATCTTAAATATCTATTTAACTAATTTAATGATTCATTAAATGTCTAAGTAGTGTAATTAATTAAGAATATATCTAATTGATTACTATTATGCAATATATTTCTCTGTAAAATTATAATTAATTATGTAAATCATCTTTGTTTGTTGGTTGACAGCTTTGACTACGAGGCAAGAGATCTTGAGTTTGAGTCTTACGCATGCGATGTGTTTATGAGTTTGTCTTAGTTGGACTAACGCTTTGTTTGGGACAGTTTTTTCCTGCTTTTTAAAGCAATATTTTAGTATAAAAAATTAAATTTTTATACTAAAAAATTACTTTAAGAAACAATAAGAAAGTCACCCCAAATGAAGCCTAAATGTTCCCCCAAAAAATCTAATTAATTGAGTTATTAATAAAATGATTAATAAGTCTTGAGTAATACTGATATGGCTGCTTTGTAATCTTCTTATAATTATTGAATAACTCTTTAGTCAAATCAATTGATCAATTCATAATAAGCCGCATCAGTTAGTATTTTATTATTATTATTTAGTAGAACATGATTTTATTCCACAAAGAAAAAGAATACAAGCAACTTCGATAATAAAAAAGAAAGATACACGGCTACAATTAGAAATGACAAGACAGTCATTAGGCTCAGCAATTGACAAAGTAACCTGCAACCACCTAGATGCCAGGCTAGGACCATCCAAAGATAGAAGGTAGCAACAATCCAAAAGAAGCAACTGAAAGAAGAACCACCAACCCAAACAGTAAGCTAAAGCACCAC